TTGGTATCGACCCGACGAGGGACGTCCGTTGTTTCCCAACCGCTTATCGCGCGGTGCCTCCACCGTGTTGTAACTCTCCGCGGGGCGGTGAGTTTACACCCCGCGCGCCCACACGGCACGCGGGGTGCCCGGCCAGCGAGCTCGTCGACGGTTTGGGCATTACGTGCGTGTGGTCGGCTTGGCGATGAGTCGGTCTTTGATGATGTTACAAAATGGAGGCATTGCCAAAGTAGAGCGTGATGCCAGCGAGCGGCTGAAGGTTCCTCTTTTGATTGTTATTTACCCCTACCCCCCGCCCCCCACGTTGCCCCGATCGTGCCGCTGGCCTCACGTCGCGAGACGAAGCGTGCGCGCGGTAAACCTCGCTGAGTGGCGCAACCCTTCACGTCGGAAAACGCCCTGTGGAAGTGGATATTGCAGAGCTACCTCTGAGACCGCTGCCAGTGGTGCGCACACCGTGGAGGGCATCGCTGTCCCACCCGCCCTGCGCATGAGAGTGATGTTCGACGCACGGCAGCCAAGCCGGCTTCTTAATTCTCAGAGCAGGAATTTAGCCAAATTTAGTGCAGAACCAATGTAAATACAACGTTTTGATCGCCAACCCCACGTCACGAAATACCCCAGGATCACGTGACGTGACAGCGAGAGTGCACAATTGATAGAACCGGCGCGGAGAGGCCAGCAGCAATGGAAGTCTGCGCTGTCGTGCCGCAGCGCCGACGTTGACGAGAATCGTGGGGGGGGGGGGGGGGTAGGCGGACGTTCGCTTCTCCGCTGTGGCACGGCGCCAGCAAGGTGGCTTTGAAGTGGCGGTGCGCGATGTCGCGAGGTCCCGGAGCTGTGGTAAATCAACGCGCATCATTATCTCGCGTTAATATTTTAACGGCCGCCGCGAGACCTGAGATTGATGGGGACTGCGGGGGCGGCCCACTCAAGGTTTTGCGGGGGGCACCTCTACCACGCGCTAGCGAGACCTCGCGTGCCTCGCGTGCTTTTCAATTGGCGGCGCTCTCCTCAGCCCCTCCCCCCCAGAGGTCTCTCTGTCTCGCGGAGCGCAATCCGTACGGGGGGGGGCGCTGCCCCGCGAGGTCGCCAAACGGGCCCTCGTGCCGCCCCCACGGCCCACAGTGGCGCGTGCCTGCGTCACCTCCTCCGTGGAGCCTACGCCATCTGGTGGAGTTACTGATATCCTGTGGAGTTGCTCACATCTGGTGGAGTTGCCCACATCTGACGGAGTTGCCCACATCTGGTGGAGTTGCTCACATCTGGTGGAGTTGCCCCCGTCTGGTGGAGTTGCCCTCGTCTAGTGGAGTTGCCCCCGTCTGGTGGAGTTGCCCACATCTGGTGGAGTTGCCCACATATGGTGGAGTTGCCCACATCTGGTGTAGTTGTTCGGAGCGTGGTCGCAAGTAACACGATCAGCGTCGGCGGTGTCTCTATTTAACCGACCCTCATACTGAGTACAAAAAAACGAGGACATATGATGGAAAGAAGAACATCTCACTGCACCAGCAGAGATCTGCATTCTCCAGTGGAAGTGCATTATTAGACAACGTACAAAAACTGCGACTTTTAATGCCCTGGGAAGACTTATAGACTTCCCTTTATCAGAGGTAACCACCACCAGGAGGTTGTCGTGGGAAATATCTCCCAAGCGGCAAACCTTGCCAGGAGGCTCCCACCGCAGCATTCAGGCTGGACACAGGTGGAATCGCCACTCTGCATGAGCAGAACCCCATTCTGTGTCTACACGTGAACACAAATATCTTACAGTCAATCCGCCAATATTGTCCAGCAGCATTTGTTTCATTAAGTAAACTTTGACCCAGTTTCGGCCTTCTGTGTCTCGGCTTCAGAATAAAGCAAATGCTGCAGGGTTAATTCTAAAGATTTGTCTTTGATGAAGCGCCCACTGCTACCCTGGGGCGTATCAGATCACTTCACGTCGCATCTCAACACATTTGAAAGGGCACCCCCAGTGGCAGCTGTCCCAGTGGGCGCATGGTTTGTTATTTGCACCGATGCTCCATCTAAAAAAAGGGGCCCATTTCACCGCAACATCAGAGGCGGTCTACATTACTGCTGCGCGGGATTTTGCGGTTGTGCCGTACGGCTCTCCGACGCGTGTCCAGGTTCTACCGTAGCTGTTCGGCACGACGTCCGACGTTTCGCTCGAGCGGCTCCCGGCACGTGGAGCGAAATGTCGGACGTCGTGTCGGAAAACGCGTCGTACGACTGGAGTTTGTTCGAGGGAGGGACTGCACGGCAGAGGCCCCCACGCCGCTGCCGTCACGGGGGCCGCGCCGCCGAGCGTGGCCAGGAATGACGCGCCACGCGGGAGGAGACTCGCGCCCATCGGTGTGTCGGCGCGTTACAAAGCGGAGGTGCACGGTCGCGCACGCTTCAAGGCATCGTGTGCGCCGGAGTTTATTCCGTGGCTTCGGGAATTAAATTGCGCCGGCTTAATCCGAGTCCCGCAAAACAGAAGGTCAGCGTTACCGCAGAAAGGGGCCACGCGGGCGGCGCCGATGGCGAGGGCTCGCTCCGGGTTCTCGCTGCATGATGGCGCGCCGCGTATATTGTGTCCGGTGCGCAGGAGTGGCGAGCGCGTGTGGAGGCAGTGCCACGCTGTCACGCCGCACGCCCCGAGAGCGCTGCCCGCACACCCCAGGGTGACCCTCCGCTCCCCTCCGTTCACCTCCGCCCTTTTTGCCGCTTGCGACTTCTCTTTCAAATCTACAAAACGAGCGCTTATCGCATCGCCTTCTCTTGCTGAAGAACGACCGTTTTCTAAGACGTTATTTTGCTTTAAAAAAAAAAAACACCCCTAAGTGCAGTTTATAGAAGCGCGCTCGCGATCACGTGCCTGGCGACGCTGCACGCCCAGAATGCGCTCTGTGGGTGCGTCTGGGTGACATTACGTAACGGACGAACTCGGCTGGTGGGCCTTTGGGATGGGCGGGCGGGCGAGCGGCGGTGACCCCACTGAGGTCACGCGGATTCGCCGCTCACCCTCTTTGCTGTAATTTTATGATGAATAATATTGATCGTGAAAGCTTACGTGTTCACCTGCAGCAGACTTGTCACCAATGTCATCTTGCAGTCGCGCTCTCCGAGGCGTTCTCGGGTCACGCCGCGTGTCATTCGGCGCGATGTCCGATCCTTCGGTTCCCGAAGCCCCCAAACACGTGGAGAAAACGTCGGACTTTGTGCGGAACGAATCGTGACAAAAACCCGCGAACGCGTCCGAAGGCCTATCGCCTCATGTCGGCTGTCGTGCGGTTGAGCCTATTATAATTTAATTTTGCTTACTTTACCATAAATGGACAAGCGGTCGAAGCTGCCCCACAAACCGTGAATGGAAAGTGCCAACTGGGAGAGCGTTTGTTGTAGCCCAGCGTGCGAAGACGTGCCCGGGTCGCTCAGCTGCTCACGGCGCGCAGGTGAAGGGAACAGCCCCGAGTGTGAGCAGCCGGTTTCTGGGAACGAGCATGCGAGGGTTTTTGTCGACTTGATTTCCCCTCTCTTGCCACTGCGCGTTTGTCCTCGGGGGAGTTTAATTAGCCACGGTAGCGGCAGCGTTCGTGCCGGGCGTGCAGGAAGCCGCACGGCGCTCGGATAACGGCGGATCTGCCGGAGAGGGCGCGGGAATCTCTTTGATCAACGTGGCCGGTTTTCTCTCGGGCGAGTCCCTGCAGTTGTGATCATCCTGATGAGGGTTCTCATGCCTCCCCCTGACAAACAGAGTTCTTGCATCCATGCTTTCAACCTCAGTTGGAAGGCGTTTACATGTTTTATATATATTTAATGTTTTCCCTTCCCGCCTCCTGCATGTTTGACATTGCAAGTGCAGTATGAAGGATAAGGACAACGCGGCGCCTCGGGGTGCCGTGCACGTTGCCCCATCCGTTCCGAACGCAGGCTTCTGACCGGTGCGCTTATAAGAGCTTGGCGCTGGGTGAAATGCATTTGGCGGCCAGGTGGCAGTAAAGGTTAGAGTGGCAAACTTGCAATCACAAGGTTGCGAGTTTAAGGTCAACTTGGGCCAGAGTTTCTGTAGAGTAGATAACATCGGTACTGCTGAGTGGAAAGCGAGTAGCCGTCGTTCCACATAATAAGCAGCCCTCGTCGTCGGAAGGCTCCTGGCGTGCAGCGCTCGAAATGAAGGATTTTAAGCAGTAGCTGCGCATCACCACCGAGAAAGCATTCCTCAACACTTGGGCACGCGGACTGGTTGACGTTGACAGTGCTACGGAGTCCAGTACAGAGGTGCGTTTGTTTACTGAGGATTTATAAACACCTTTGGCTGGACCACACGCTGTTAACACGCTTGCACCACAGCCTCTTGTGTTCACTGCAATGGCAGAGGTTAGTGGACGCGAGGCTAAAGTTAGAAACACGGCGTGGTTGCCGGGTCGAACTTATTCCCCTCTGGCACCCGATCAGTGCACCTTCGACGCTCGCAGCGACCGACACGGACTGGTCGTCGCGCGGACCGTGGAGACGCGGCAGACCTCGTCTGACCACGTGCCCTGCGAAACGAAGCCACGGGCTGGGGGTTGCCCTCGGGCCGTGGGATGCCCACGCCTGGCTTGGTGGTAACCGAGTCGCGGGCAGCGCGTGCGACGGTGCTTCGTGACGTCCCCGGCCGCGGCGGTTTGTAGCGGGGAGCGCCGTGCGACGCAGCGCGGGAAGCGGCACGGCCCTCCGCTCCACACGCGCGCGCCATGCCGGACTCCGCTTGATTCTTACGTGAAAAGCATTTTCTGATTTGAAAGAGAACAAAGACGGGGCGAGCGCGGTCGTCTTGTGCTGTTTGCTTTGCGCTGCCGCGGTTGAACGACGCGCGATGTTGTGTTGAACGACGCGCGATGTTGTGTTGAATGACGCGCGATGTTGTGTTGAATGACGCGCGATGTTGTGTTGAATGACGCGCACCGTGACTTGCTCTAACCCCCCGCTGAATTTGCGCTAATCGGTGAATGTTTTCTTTTGCATAGGTTGTTGTGGAATGGGTAATCTGCTAAAGGTCCTATCCAAGGATATTGAGAATATTCCACGCTTTTTCTTGGATTTTGAAAGTAAGTTTTTTTTTGCGTCCGGAAACGAGAGAATGATCGCGCGAGGTGGAGGGGGGGGGGGGGTGCGTCGCGTGCGCAGAGGACGGTGCCGGTCGGGGAGAGAGGGGGCCCATGCCAGGGCCCGATTTGCACGACGTGAGACCACCGGGGTGTTGGCAAATTTACAGATTGAGCAGAACCGTAGAAATGTACGAGCGCTTGAGAGTCATTCACTGGCACGGTCAAACAACACGCAGGTCAAACCACACGCAGGTCAAACCACACGCAGGTCAAACCACACGCAGGTCAAACCACACGCAGGTCAAACAACACGCACGGCCAAACCAAGGCAGGTCCCTTGCACTGCATCAATTCTACTGCGTGTCAGAATCTGGGTACAAGCACAGTTCTGATAGAAGCAATACATTATTACACTGCTCTGGTGGGGGGGGGGGAAGGGGGTGGGGGTAAAGGCACGTGCCCTGTTCACATCCAGCTTCTGCTGCATTCGTTTTTATGAATATTGATGAAGCATGAAATAGGCTCCATATTTGGGGAAAATAATGCTATTTGTAATGTAAACTCCAAGCAGATTTTCCACTATCGGTATTAATCCTGTATGCGACCTCCAGGCACGTTAAAGATATAAACATTTACCGGCTCCCTCCGCGGTGAGCGGTTAATAATGTCGCGTGCCGAGGGAGCGCCGGGGGGGGGGGGGGGGCGCCGTTTTCCAACGCCGAAATTTTTTCCTTCGCAGCGTCGGCACGCGGTCACGCGCTCCGTGGCCGTAGTGCCGGTCATGCGGCCGATGAATTAGCGACGAGTGGACGGTGGAGACGGCGCTTGCGGGCCCCCGTGCGTTTTTTTAGCAGCACTGCCCAATTTAATGACGAGCGGCCGCATTGGTCTGCGTTCCTCCAGCGCCCGATGTCGTGGCTTGGACGCGCGCGTAACGCTCGCGTCGCCGAGAGGTTCACGTGCAGGTCTGCGCTTGTTTGCTGACAGCACTGCAGGTGGAAGGCCCCCCCCCTACTCAGGGGATCTTTGGAGGGTGCGCCCCCCCTTCTTCTTATACAAAACCGATGGATTAGGGCCTCCCCCGCACAATGTTTTTTTCCCCCACGAAACTTCACCACGCTGGGCAGTGCGGGCTGGTGAAGGGGAGGAGAAGGGCAGGATCAGTTTTGAATATCACGTGCCACTGATATTAACCGCGGCCCGGAATCACACTCGGGTCGCTACTTTGACAGCGCAGCGCCCTAACAGCACACGGTGTGTCCAACACCGATGCGCACACACCGCCAGGGTAACACGCATTTGGGTCGTAGTCGCGAATTCTCAAGCAACGTATATTTTGAGACGGGGCATCCGGCTAACGATCACACAATGAGGTTTGCTCTCTCTGGGATTAGCAGCACCTTGAGCGGTACAGGCCTCGGCGCCTGCAGTTGGTCCCGGGGCTCGGGGTTGTGCGATTGGCAACGAGCCGAACCCGCCGGCCGGCCAGAGCGGCCGAGCCGTCCTCTCCGCACAGGCGTCACGCCTGCGCCGGTTTGCACAGCGGCCACGCGGATTGCGCCTCCTGCAGCAGCGGCCTCCGCCGACGGCGCGCCCTCGATGTCAATCGCTCGCATTTAAAAAATGTAGCTCGCGTCCCCGATTCGGAAGCGGCCGCGCGTGCGCCGCTCGCCGCACGGTTAGAAACGCGCGACGCAGCAGATAAATGTGAAAAGGCGCAGCCCTGCAATTTCCCGTTCACGCCACTGCTGGCAGAAGCTCCTCGGCTCGGGGGAGCTCTAGAGATCCCCTGAACGGGGGGTATTTGGCCTACTCTTCTGCACACAATGCAGCAGATGTCCTCATAAACGACAAAATAAGCTGCTGCTTCGGACGTCATCCAGTTGCCTTTGCGCCGTACGTAGCGATGTCCGGCGTCGCTGGCTCGCGGCCCTTGTGGCCCCCTCCTTGGCACCGCTTCCGGCGTCTGCCGGGGGTGGGCGGAGATTGTCAACATGGACCCCGTGAACCGCGGCGTTTCCCCAAAAACCCCCAGAGAGCATGCGAGCGAGATCGCCACAGTTGTTGAGTGGCTTTGCTGGCATCTCCCCCCATGCCCCCCACGCCCCCCCCCCCCCGCCGCCGTTCCCCGAGCCCAAGGTTGAGAATCAACGCTGCCGTGCCTCGCTTTGCCGGACTGCACTAAACGCGCCGCCGCTGTGTCTGCTCTGCGCTCTCTGTCCCCCTCTCTCTTCCTCTTCTCCCTCTCCTGCTCTCTCTTTCTCGCCCTCTCGCTATCTGTGCTCGTCTCCCTCCTCCTCCTCCTCTTCTCTCTCTCTCTGTGCCTACAGGTGCCTGATATGGGGAACCTGTTAAAAGTGCTCACTTGCACAGACCTTGAACAGGGGCCAAACTTTTTCCTTGACTTTGAAAGTGAGAGCCGGCCGTCGTCGGTGTGACGCATTTGCTTGTCCTGTCCGCTCCATGACGTCCTCCACTGGGTTTCTCCGCGCTTGCCGTACGACGTTGTGCATAGGCCTGGCGCCATCCAGCAGTGCTTGGAAAGGAAACGTGCACTGCATACCTTCATTGTCGTCCTGACAAATGCTGCGGAGATGCATTTTGCCAAAATAAACCAATTGTATAAGACTTCAAATATGAGATCGGAGCCAGCCTATGTACAACGTTACTTCTGCAGTGTTCCCGAATGCCGTCATGCATGTCGCTGTTACGAGTTTTACTTTTGTTTTTAGTCGCCCGGTTGTTTACGCATGCCGATCATCGCACACACACGCATGTGATAACGCTCCTGCTGGGTAGTGCACGCACGAGAGCCGCCTGCACGGTCATCCATTTATGGATCAAAGTGAGATTCATGCTCGCAGCCTAGGCCGGACAACGGCTGTGGCACACGGCGGAGCATCGCATGGCGCTCTGCAAAGATCCGTTGTCGTCATCCTCGTCATCATTGTCATAATCGTCGTAGACGTCATCGTCGTCATCATCGGCATCATCATTGCCGTTATCGTTGTCATCGTCGTCATCTTCATCATCAGCATCGTCGTCGTCGTCGTCATAAGTCGGTTACGTTAAATTGTTTAATACATTTCAGACTGAGGCTGTGTGTTTCCGTGCAGTGTCGCCCGAGGTCAGCGTTTGTCAGTCGCTAAACGCCACGAGGAAACGTGCATGGGAGCCGTGCACGGCAGCGTCCATCTCCACAACAACACATTTATCAAGCGCATTTCCTTCCCTGTGGCATGGCTGTGGTGGCTGGTGGTGGTTGATGATCGTGGCGGTGGTTGTCGGGTCGGTCGATGGTAATCGGCGGTGGTGGTTTCGGCGTGTACCCCAAGATGCGCAGCCCACCGAGGCGGAGCGGGACTCGTGGCAGCAGGTGAACGGCGTGCTGCAGCAGAGCGAAGGCATCCTCACCGAGCTGCAGGCCTACCGCGGGGCCGGCCAGGAGATCCGAGAGGTGCGCTCACCGCTCACGGCCCGGTCCATGGCGGCAGCGGAGGCCTGGCCGGCACGGGGGGCACGGGGGTCACATGGAGCCACATGCGGGGGGGGGGGGGGGCTCGGGGGACACGGTGTCACACGGCACGGAAGCAGTGGGGGGCATCAGGGATGCGGGGGGACATGTCCTCGTCTGTCTAGCTATGCGCTGTTGATTTCTGCCTTCTCCTTTCTGAGGAACCGTCGCCCAAAACGCCGTTTGCATGTTTTCCCATTACAGTCAGCGTCAAGAGCAAACGTGACGAGTTTGTAATTATTTTCACCCTGTTTGTGATGCATGGATGACCGTTTGTGCATGCACACATAAACATGCGCACACACGCATGCACACATGTGCACGCACACGCACACACACACACAAAAGCATGCACAGCCAGGACCGGCTGAGAGTGGGGGAGATGCACGGGATAATCGGCATTCGCGGTTGCAGTCATGTGCATAGCACGCGACATACGCAGCGTTCCCCTCCACACACACGCACGTGCGCGCGTTACAAATTGCAGGTGGCAGCGGTCACTCTGCGGAGCCACCGGGCACGTTTTTCACGGCGTTTATGCCACACGGCGTGGTGGGTCAGTGGAGCCGACAACGCTCGTGACATCTAAAACGATTTCCTTTTTGTTGCGCGTGGCGGTGGTGGCGGCGGTGGCGGCGGTGGCGGCGGTGGCGGCGGTGGCGGCGGTGGCGGTGGCTGTGGTGGCGGTGATGCCGGGCCGCAGGCGATATCCAACTCCAACGACGTCGAGCTGCAGGAGAAGGCGTGGAAGGCCGTGTGTCCACTTGTGGCCAAGCTCAAGCGCTACTACGAGTTCTCCCTCTGCCTGGGTAAGAAGCCAGCCTCCTACTCTCCCAGCTCTTGCCTACAGCAGGGCACGGACGCGCAGCGGTAACATTTGTACCTCTCAGCAGCAACAAGGACCTGAGTTAGGTTCCCGACTCGGCCACCTTACTGTGTGGAGTTTGTTCCCTCCATGTTCTGCGTTGGTTTCCCCCGAGTTCCCCGGTTTCTTAGCGCAGCTAATAAGATCCCTCACACAATGAAACCAAACATCCCAATGCTGAAAAATTGCATGCAAATTGCTCATTTGGGATTTAGCACAACCACAACATAGTTCCCTCCCATTAAATGTGGAACATTGTGCGACAGCACAATGTGGATTCGTATAGTGTCTAAACGATGATAGTGATCATGATGTTGAAGATGGTGATGATGGTGACGATGATGGTGGTGGTGAAGATGGTGACGGTGTTATTGATGGCGGTGGTGACGATGGTGACGGTGATGGTGACGGTGACAGTGTTATTGATGGTGACGGTGGCGGTGACGGTGACGGTGTTATTGGTGGTGACGGTGGCGGTGACGGTGGCGGTGTTATTGATGGTGACGGTGACGGTGACGGTGTTATTGATGGTGACGGTGTTATTGATGGTGACGGTGGCGGTGACGGTGTTATTGATGGTGACGGTGACGGTGGCGGTGACGGTGTTATTGATGGTGACGGTGGCGGTGACGGTGTGTGCGGGGCCCGTGTAGCGGAGGCGCTGCGCAGCCTGCTCACGGCGCTCACCTGCCCGCCCTGCACGCCCACGCAGCACCTGGAGCGTGAGCAGGCGCTCGCCAAGCAGTTCGCCGAGATCCTCCACTTCACGCTGCGCTTCGACGAGCTCAAGGTGCCCGCCGCCGGGGCACGGGGGGCGGGGGGCGTGACGACGACTCCAGCGATGAGCGATCGCTGTTGCCGCCCGGTGCGCGTCGATTCGTCCGTTTATCTCGCTCCTTGAAGCGATGAATCGCACGTGAGGAACGGTCCTCGACGATCGCCCGCTGAGCGTCTTTGGGATCCTCCACGCACTCCCCTACCTCTCTCATCTCACTCTACTCCCCTCACTCTCCTACCTCTCTCATCTCACTCTACTCCCCTCCACGCACTCTCCTACCTCTCTCATCTCACTCTACTCCCCTCCACGCACTCCCCTACCTCTCCCCTCTCATCTCACTCTCCTCCCCTCCACACACTCTGATGTAACAATCACTGAGTACGCTCGGTGTGGATGCTATTGTTCACCATGAAGCAAGGTGCTGCTGTGTTTCACGGACACAGGCTGCCATCGTTTCGCATGAGGGGGCGATGTTGCTAGGCGATGTTGCTTTGTGTTTCCCAATGAAGTAATTTGTAGGCAACTTTTACAATTTGGTAAAATTGGATCGTGACACCAGATCGCAATAGCCTACTGTTTTCTAATGACGTCACGGGTACCTGAATGTCCACTGTGAAACAGACGGTGCGTATTGTATGCAAGCCTCTGCAACAAGCCAATCACACACACACCATCTGATATCATCATCACCGTCGGTGTACATTATCAGCAGTATGATATCTCTGCTTTTACATATGGTTCATCGTCGTCATCGTGCGTAATCTGCATGTTACGGGAGAGTCATGGTCCACGGTGGTTCGTCAATGTCGTGAAATCGTGCCGAGTGTGTTGTACACCGTTTACATGAGGCCACGCGCGCTCGCTCCGGCAGACGAGTTTGTCTCTCTCCATCTCCCACCCGAGAGCGTTTGCCTGATGACGGCATTGCTGCTGCCGCTTTGTGTGCAGATGACGAACCCAGCGATTCAGAACGACTTCAGCTACTACAGGCGCACGCTGAGCCGCAACAGGATAAACAACACCTACGTGCGTGTTACACACCCACACCCCCACGCCCCCCGCCATCAGCACGGCCCAAATAAAAAAAAACGCGCGGCTCGTTACGCACCGCCATCGCGGGACGCCTCCGCCGTTTATAGTTCGCGAGTTGTAAAAATTGGCCCCCATTGGTAACCCTCGAGTAAACAGCAAGAGCATGCTACGGCAAGCGGTTCGGGGTTCGCACGGAGTTGCGACTCTTCCGCGCTGATGCCGCGGATGAGTGTTGGCTCGAGCTTTCTGTGGAGCGTAAAAATCTCGCCAAGCCGTAAAACAAAAAAAAAAAGCGCTTCATTTTGAAAGACAACTTTTTATCTCGCCACACACGAGGCCATCTAATTGGGGCTCTCTTGGCCAGCCACGTTGTATTGTGCCTGCTCCCGCACCTCGTTTCCTCTGACCTTTGGGGGCAACGTGACCGGCGCCCGCTGCGTCTCTCGTCAACACACTCGCGAGTTACGGCTTCGCCGCGTGAGTGTGCGGTAGCGTACGCGCGGAGAGAGACGCGCGCGGCGACGCGGCGCTCTCCGCGCGTGTTTGTATGAATGCGCCGGTGTCGTGGCGGGCGGCGTGCTGCAGCCCAGAGGTCGCCGGTTCGATTTGGTCTCCAATCGAAGATTTGGTCTCCTGGAGGGCACGGCAGTGGACACGACGCGACGGGTTTCTTAAATCCCACGCCCGCGTCCACCCGGCAGCGTTAAATGTATTTCCCGCAGTTAGCCAATCGACAGGTCCCCCCCGTGGTGGGGTAAAGTGTGGGTACTCGACCTCAAAGTCACGCTTGCAAAAGAGGCGATGTTCACGTGTCTCGAAGCGTCTGTATTCATCTCCTGGTTAAATAAAAGACTCTTCCCAGACGCCTGGCCAGCGTGGACGAGTTGGTTACAACTCCGTCCGTATGCCCCTTTAGGGAGGCCCTTCTTCGAATAGTGGCACGAGCAAGCAATTGCAGGGCTGCGCCTTTAACCTTTACCGGACGATCCACAGCAAATCGCGGAGAACGAAGTCAACAACGAGATGGCGAACCGGATGTCCTTGTTCTACGCCGAGGCCACCCCGATGCTGAAGACCCTCAGCGACGTTACCACGAAGTTCGTTTCTGAAGTAGGTCGCCAAACCCCCCACACCTCCCGCCCCGAGAATGTCGCTCGGCAGAGTGAGCGTGCCCCCGGTGCCGTGACGCGGTGCTCGGAACACGTGGCCTGGGCGCCCTCCCCTGGCGCTCCTACCGCCCCGCGGTCGCAAACGTCTGAAGGTCGGCCGAGGTCACCGTGATTAGCGCGAGTTCTGCCCGCCGCAATTAATCGTTGGGTGAAGCGCCGCTGACCTTCGGCGTGCTGCAAGACCCGCTCGCGGCGGAGCGCCGATGGGAGGGACGGTGGGTGATGGCTCTCGGGCTTCCCTCCCGACGGTGCCGTTACTGGCCGCCGTGCGACGTTCATGCGACGTGCCGCGTTGCCGTTCAACGGGAGTGACAACGGAGAGAGGAGTGCGCCATTCTGTCGCTTTGGAAGCTGCTCGGTAATGGCACCTGGGTTCAACTCGCACCTTGTGTTACTTTTACACGATGCCTTTCTGGCACTGATCGGCAGTCGTTGCCGTTGTGGCGACGTTAAGACGTCACGCGGCAGCGCTTGGCGGGCGTCTACGCGCTCGTAGCTTGCGTGCCTGCGTGGGCAGAACACAAATCTGAGACGTTGCGCTGACGATTAGGAGACCCGAGCCTGGGAAGGAAGTGCCGCTCGACTGGACGACGACAGACGGGACTCGCGGGCGCGACCTGGGAGCGCTGGCGTCTCGGCTAAGACTGCGCGAGGTGATGGAGCCAGACTTGTCCTCTCAACACGTGCTTCCGCGCCGTGTGTGTCTCCTCGTGCAGAATAAGACGCTCCCCATCGAGAACACCACCGACTGCCTCAGCACCATGGCCAGCGTCTGCAAGGTCATGCTGGAGACTCCGTGAGTGGCCCCTTCTCTCTCTCTATACTGACCTCAAGGAGGCGGACGCTGGGCGATCGATCGTGCACTCTGCTGCCACGCACAGCCTGTGGAGGAAAGCTGCCATGCCTGTCTACATCAGGAATGGCTCGTCCTGTAGTCTGATTGTATGTTACCTTCAGTTTCAGTTTATTTATTTTGGTATAGCCCTGTGAGCCATTCGGCTCTTGAATCGGGTGCAACCACAACAAACAATAAAAAAAAACACAATCAAGATAAACATCTTAAAGTGACTATGTGACTGTGCATACAGAATATCCATGAAAAAAAACAGCAAAATATTCCTGAAAAAAGCACCGTACACCAATGCTGTGTGCAATAAATCCCAGTGGGATGCAATTAAAACAACAACCACAAGACAACTAAGATTAAGGCCGTCAGTCTAACTCCGTACTACAACAAAACAAACGTCCAAACCAAAAAACTTTTCGAAATCACCAAAAAATAAAGCCATTATTGCAACGTAACAGTGATCACAGGAATTGTGACCGAATTTTTACAATAAACTACATAAATAACATGTAACACCAAATCCTAGAGCCATAGCTGGCTGCATGAGTCACTCCACAAACAACAGGAGTATCAGTCGGAGTATCAAATTTTTCAATGCACCTTTAAGATCAGCACGCTATATCAAAATACAGATAATACTTTGCAGCGTCATCCGGAGCGAAACATTTTAATTTATTTTAGGCCACTGAATAGCAGTGGCAGCTAGGGGTGTACAACTCCTCTAGAGCAGTTTTGAGAGAAGATCTCATTGGTAGCGATTCAAGTTGCAGTGTATTGGCAATAGCATTCCAGACCCTGGGGGCATCAATAGCAAAGGCCCTTCCTCCAGTTTTTGTACGGCAATAGGGAATGTGAAGCTGATAAATGAGCGAAGACCTGAGGTCAAATTTGTTCTTTGAAACAGAGAGGAGATCCAGCAGGTAGTCTGCGAATTTTTTTGTAAGTACATCGTGAATAAATATGATCTGGTGCACAAGCCGTCGAACATTAAGAGATGTTAAGTTTGACCCAATGTAGAGATCATAGTGGTGAGTCCTATATGGGCAGTTCAATGTAAATCTTAAGGCCGAGTGATAGATGGAATCAAGCTTCTTTAGTACAGTACTTGGGGCTGATTTATACACGATGTCACAGTAGTCAAGTAGAGGCAGTATGGTAGCTTTTATCAATTCCAAACGGAACATTGGGGGGAAGCAGTGCTTGTGTTGATACAGAAAACCAATTTTTATTTTTGTCTTTTTACCAATATAATCAATGTGATCTTCAAAATTCAGTTTTGAATCCAGGATGACCCCAAGATACTTATAGATCTTGACTTGCTCTATTTGATAACTATTTAAGGAATGTAATTGGGGAAAAATAACTTCCTGCTTTAGTCTTGGTGAGAAGCATAGTACCTTGATTTTGGAGGTATTCAGGACTAGTTTAAGAGCAACTAGCTGATGTTGTAGTTTGTTGAAATCACGCTGTAGCTTAGCAATCACGTCATCCGGAGAGCGGCCAGCAGTAATCAGTATCGTGTCATCTGCAAAAAGATTTAACCTGGAATGATCCAGGTCAGTGCCCAAGTCATTGACATAAAGAGAGAACAAAAGGGGGCCGAGGATGGAACCCTGTGGAACCCCTTTTGTTATCTTAACACTGTTTGACCTCCAACCATTTGTGAATACAGTTTGGGTGCGAGAAAAGAGGTATGCGAGAAAAGAGGTACTGTAACGGCTGCAATTATTACAGCCGGCTTTTGTCGTAATTGTTAATTCTCTCTTGATTGGGAATGTCATCGTCATTGTTGTTATGGTTATTGTCTTTTACTGGATTTCGATTGGATTGATCTATACTTTTGAAGTGTAGTTTTTTTGACAGTAATGCACTTGGAGATATTTCGATATGAAAGGTCCCTGATAAAATAAAGTGTATTATTATTTATCATGAATAGCAGTGGTTCTAATTGCTTCTGTTGCGTATCGTTGTTAGAATATTTTCCGCTTCGTTGGCCGAGTTGGCGGCACGTGACGAGCGACGTGTGCGTGGCATTCGTGGCCACGCGGTGGCGATGGTGGAGGCTCGGTGTTTGCGCGGCGCTAATGGCGGCAGTGGTGGTGGTGTGCGTAGGGAGTACCGGAGTCGGTTCACCAACGAGGAGACGGTGTCCTTCTGCCTGCGGGTCATGGTGGGCGTCATCATCCTCTACGACCACGTGCACCCGGTGGGCGCGTTCGCTCGCAGCTCCAAGATCGACGTGAGCTCGCCACCGACATTCTGACACCCACGCCCCCGACGGGACACCGCCATGCCGCCCGGTGACCGCGCATCAACGCCGTCGAACGTTTAACCCCAAATCGAATCCCGAGTGTGCTTTTAAGAATCGTCAGGTGAAGAATCCGCTCTGATATATCGTGCAGCCATCTTAGAGATGGGCCCACGGAAGTGGAAATCATAGAGCTACCTCTGAGATCCCTTCAAGTGACCTCCGTACCACACGGTAGGGAGCAGCGTTTTTACTCTCCGACAATGTTAGCCACGGTCGGAATTTAATTTCGGTGTCGCGGTTGGTAGCGCGCTGCGCTAACGGCTGCAACGCCGCTGCCCTCCGGAGTCTGCTCAGGGCACTGAAACTGAGAGGTAACCGAACTTTGTTCATTCTCTGAGTTGGAAGGCTCTGTGCACCGGGTTTGAATGCAGCATTCGCGAGCGTGGATTAACCCGTGATGTCACGATCACCGCGCGGATCTGTGTGGGTTTCTTGCAGATGAAAGGTTGTATAAAGGTGCTCAAAGAACAGCCTCCGAACAGCGTGGAAGGTCTGCTAAATGCACTCAGGTACAAAGGACGCACGCCACATGGACGCTTACATTCACCGGTAGGGAAACGCAATTGTCTGATTCCTCCAAGGTATTATCATGATTAATTACGAGTCATCATCAGCGATGATAAATCCCCTGCTGGATGAAGGCCTCCCCAATCCACCGCCATCGTGAACATATTTCATCGCTTCATCTCTGCATGGATGCGTCCCATCCCTTGGCTGCCACTCCACTATTGTCATTACCAGCTATGTTCCCATTCTCTGGTGAGCTGAGTACTCGACCAAAACGCGGTACACTAACTGATTACTTCTTGAGCTGTGAACTGGGTGACCTGAGTTCGATTCCTGGCCACGGCTAACATCAGTGGCAAGAGCAATCGGAACCAGTCTGGCTGTGTCCCCCTTCACCAATATGCAACCAACCAGTGGTAAAGTAAGGTAAATAAATCCCCATGAACAAAATGGTACGGGGAAGCCTTCATCTACCGCTCCACTTTGGAATTCCCTCCTGTCGTCTCAGGTACCTTGCAGTGCACAGTTTGTATGTTCTCTCCCCCTGTTCTCCAATGGGTTTCCTCTGGGTTTTCCGGTTTCCTCCCATATTTAAAAACACACACATACAGTGAGGGAAAAAATATTTGATCCCCTGCTGATTTTGTACGTTTGCCCACTGACAAAGAAATTATCAGTCTATAATTTTAATGGCAGGTTTATTTGAACAGTGAGAGACAGAATAACAACAAAAAAATCCAGAAAAACGCATGTCAAAAATGTTATAAATTGATTTGCATTTTAATGAGGGATATAAGTATTTGACCCCTCTGCAAAACATGACTTAGTACTTGGTGGCAAAACCCTTGTTGGCAATCACAGAGGTTAGACGTTTCTTGTAGTTTGCCACGAGGTTTGCACACATCTCAGGAGAGATTTTGTCCCACTCCTCTTTGCAGATCTTCTCCAAGTCATTAAGGTTTCGAGGCTGACGTTTGGAAACTCGAACCTTCAGCTCCCTCCACAGATTTTCTTTGGTATTAAGGTCTGGAGACTGGCTAGGCCACTCCAGGACCTTAATGTGCTTCTTCTTGAGCCACTCCTTTGTTGCCTTGGCCGTGTGTTTTGGGTCATTGTTATGCTGGAATACCCATCCACGACGCATTTTCAATGCCCTGGCTGAGGGAAGGAGGTTCTCACCCAAGATTTGACGGTACATGGCCCCGTCCATCGTCCCTTTGATGCAGTGAAGTTGTCCTGTCCCCTTAGCAGAAAAACACCCCCAAAGCATAATGTTTCCACCTCCATGTTTGACGGTGGGGATGGTGTTCTTGGGGTCATAGGCAGCATTCCTCCTCATCCAAACTCGGCGAGTTGAGTTGATGCCAAAGAGCTCTATTTTGGTTTCATCTGACCACAACACTTTCACCCAGTTGTCCTCTGAATCATTCAGATGTTCATTGGCAAACTTCAGACGGGCATGTATATGTGCTTTCTTGAGCAAGGGGGGACCTTGCGGGCGCTGCAGGATTTCAGTCCTTCACGGCGTAGTGTGTTACCAATTGTTTTCTTGGTGACTATGGTCCCAGCTGCCTTGAGATCATTGACAAGATCCTCCCGTGTAGTTCTGGGCTGATTCCTCACCGTTCTCATGATCATTGCAACTCCACGAGGTGAGATCTTGCATGGAGCCCCAGGCCGAGGGAGATTGACAGTTCTTTTGTGTTTCTTCTATTTCCGAATAATCGCACCAACTGTTGTCACCTTCTCACCAAGCTGCTTGGCAATGGTCTTGTAGCCCATTCCAGCCTTGTGTAGGTCTACAATCTTGTCCCTGACATCCTTGGAGACCTCTTTGGTCTTGGCCATGGTGGAGAGTTTGGAATCTGATTGATTGCTTCTTTGGACAGGTGCCTTTTATACAGGTAACAAGCTGAGATTAGGATCATTCCCTTTAAGAGTGTGCTCCTAATCTCAGCTCGTTACCTGTATAAAAGACACCTGGGAGCCAGAAATCTTTCTGATTGAGAGGGGGTCAAATACTTATTTCCCTCATTAGAATGCAAATCAATTTATAACATTTTTGACATGCGTTTTTCTGGATTTTGTTGGTATTCTGTCTCTCACTGTTCAAATAAACCTACCATTAAAATTATAGACTGATCATTTCTTTGTCAGTGGGCAAACGTACAAAATTAGCAGGGGATCAAATACTTTTTTCCCTCACTGTACAAGGTGACTGGTATCGGCTAAAAATTCCAATCCTGGAACATTGTCTGCAAATTACTGCATTGGGACCACGCATCGCAACATCGCCTCCTACATCCTTTGGGACCACGCATAACAACATCACCCCTACATCCGTGGGGACCACGCATAACAACATCACCCCTACATCCGTGGGGACCACGCATAACAACATCACCCCTACATCCTTTGGGACCACGCATTGTAACATCGCCTCCTACATCCGTGGGGACCACGCATAACAACATCACCCCTACATCCGTGGGGACCACGCATAACAACATCGCCCCTACATCCTTTGGGACCACGCATAACAACATCGCCTCCTACATCCGTAGGGACCACGCATAACAACATCACCCCCTCCCCAAAAAGGGTCCTGCGACTTGGCGAGCCTCTCCCGGGCGAGCGAGCGCGAGTAGTCAATCGTGAACCCCTCCCTCCTCGCACCGCAGGTACACGACGCGACACCTGAACGACGAGAACACGTCCAAGCAGGTGAAGAGCATGCTCCAGTAGGGGGGCCGGGGCGGGGGGGCGCGCACGGACGGACGCCGCTCCGCCCGGACGGCGCGACCATCGGTGGCGGTGAGGGCGGCGCGTCGTCCACGTCGTCTGAGTCGTCCGAATCGTCCGAATCGTCCGAGTCGTCTGAGTCGTCCGCATCATCCCGTCCCTGCGGAGGCCTCACCGGACCGGGCGGCCCGGTCGTGGTGCCGCACGTACAACGCTGCCGCCACCGCCGCCTCCGAGATGCTGAGCCCCGTTGCATGGCCGCGTGAATATTCATGTTTCCCCGTGACAGCCCCCTTGTACGAGTAACGGAACACGATCGGATGGCGGAGGGAAGGCAGCTTTAATTGGTCGGTGTAAATATTGGCGCGGAGGGCCCAATTAGTGAATGCACTATCCCGCTCCGTCGCTGGGTGCACGCGTGCCCCATTCCTCGTCGCTCGTCCCTCCGATCCAGCGCTCCGCGGGGGAGGGGGGCGGTAGCGTCTCCTCCAGTTGTAGAGGGATTCGGGAGTCTCCGCTGGACTGAGCGACCAGGACGGAGCATAACCCTCCGGTCGTGCCAACAGGGCCGGATTTAGGAAACCAATCGGGGACATTTTTTTGAGGGCCCAAACTCCAGGGGACCCCATTGGAAGGGAGGGGGGGAATATAAAGTTGGACTTAATTCATCAGGTCGTTCTAATACGAGAATGATGCAAGTCAATAAACCTGCTCTTGCTAAGAGCTTTCCAGTTAGGTTTTGATGTCATCTGTGTCCCCAACCCTCCCGCGTCACGCTCAGCCCCCTCTCCCCCCATAGTGGGGGTTGTGGATTTTGTCCCTGTGTGTGTCTATGTCTATGTGTGTTATGTGTCTTTGCCTCTGTGTGTGGTGTCTTTGGGTGTGTGTGTCTTTATCTGTGTGTTTATGTCTGTCTCTGTGTGCATGTATGTCTTTTTGTCTGTGTGTGTTTCTTTATCTATGTGTATATGTATGTGTTTTTGTGGGAGTGTGTGTGCCTTTCTCTGTGTGTGTATTTGTCTATGTCTGTATGTGTGTGGGTATATGTGTCTTTGTCTTTGCATGTGTGTGTGTGTGCATGTGTCTGTATGTGCGTCTGGGTGTGCGATAATGTAGCGGTTAGCGTGCTGCGCTATGAACTCGGCGACACGGGTTCGCTTCCCGCTCACGGCCAACACCAGTGACGATTATCTGAACCGGTCCCGGGCCTCCCCTAGGTCGACTCAGCCTCAAATGAGTACCTGGTGCGGTGTGTAAACATTGCCACTAGGGAGACAAAGGCGGTCGGGCGTGGTGCTGGCCACCCACCCCCTCGTGTACCGTTCCGGCCTTCATAGGTGCTTGCTAACAACACTTGCCCCTACAGTATGTTAAGGCTATATGGGGGACCTTTGTCTTTGTGTCTTGGTGTGATTGTCGTACGTGAGTGTGTGGAGAGCGGTAGTGTGGCGGTTAGCTCTACGCTGCGCTATGAACCCAGCGACCCGAGTTCAATTCCTGCTCATGGCTAACACCAGTGACAATTATCTGAACTGGTTCTGGGTCTCCTCTAGGTCGACTCGGCCTAAGATCAGTGTCTGCTGTGTGTGTAAACTATAGAGGCAAAGGCGGCTCACTAACAGCTCGCTCACAGAACCTGCCCCAAAAGCCCTTCAAGGCGATGAGGTGGATCTTTGTCTTTGTGTGTGCAGTATTCCCTCGTCATTCGCGAGGGATACATGCTCATGGATAGTGGCCTAGCAAAACCTACCATTTTATTGAATTGCCTTAAATAAATACATACATAAGCTATTAAATGCGTGAATTAGAATAATATCTCTCATCATTTTCTTTCTCTCTCTCACGATGAAGTCGTGTAGACTTGCAAATACGATTCTCAGCCAAAATCATGAATAACAAGTTCGTGTGTATGTGCATGTCTATGTATGTGCGTATGTGTGTGCATGTCTATGTATGTTTGTGTATATGCATGTTTACGTGTGTGTGTATGTGTGTGTATGTGAGGAGGGGGGGGGGCTTTTATTGCTCGTGTCCTGGGGGGCACAGGTCCCTAAATCCGGCCCTGCCTAAGAAGGCATCGTTGAAACTAAATATTAAAATTAAACTAAATATTAAAATTAATGCATTTCCGGACAACAAACAGTCCTGCATCATTAAGATCACAATAGTTTATTTACAAAAAAAAATCTAATCGACACAATACCTTGGCTTTTACTTGTGCATTCATTAATTTGTACCTCTTATTAATTCTGCCCCCTGCGATGTTCGGGGAGGGCGTCGCGAGTGGTGTATTTGCACGCGAGCCCTCTGCTTGCTCTACTGCTGCTGTTGGTGGCTGAATGTCTCTGGGCTAGATCGGCGTGTGCGTGCGATTTATCCCGAATTGCACCGACGACTTGCTTGGGATTACGGTCGGCAGAGATTGGGGCGGGGTGCGTTGGAGGAGGGTGTTCACAACGCAAGCCGGCCGCTGCTTCCCAGCGGACGTGTCGCGCTTCCACCGGCAGGCGTGCCGCGGAAGTGCGGCGCGTCCGTCTCCGGGAAGGTCCGGCCGCCACAATTAATTGAACCGAGCCGCGGCAGTATTTATTGTGAAACGTGCGGCAGCTCGGAGAGAGACCAAAAACACGAAAGCGGGAACCCCGGCGGTCTCCGTGTGTGTCCTGCGAGTGTCTTCGTGCGTCTCACGTGGGTCACGAGTGTCTTCGTGCATCCCACGTGAGTCACGGCCACCAGCGGTGGGGGAAGCCGAGCGCTGTCCACGTTGAGGCTGCGTGCGGCGCTGCCCTCGCCGTGGCGGGTCGACACGTGGTGCCCGCCGGCTCGATCACCGGATCCGTCGGCGAACGATTTGCGGTTTCCTACATCGGTCGATTGTGGTTGATGATGGTGGTGGTGGTGGTGGTCGTGTGGTTCGTCGTGATTAGCGGGCAGTGAACGTTTGCATGTTGTGTCGACGCGCTTCAGTATTTTGTGTTCAGAGTGTTGTGAGCTCCGGTCCCAGTGGCAGGGGAGGGTGGTGGATGTGAAACTTGACTGTGTTTGTTTTCGCGGCTGTGGCTGTGCATCTCTCCGATGCGTTTTTTGGTCGTGCCGTGTGCCATTTTGCACGACGTCCGACGTTTCGCTCCACATGCTTGGAACTTCTCCAGGAACTGAATCGAGCAGCTCACGTTCTCGCTCGTTTATATTCCGCTACCGGCCGCTGTTGGCGCATTTGGGTCCGGCCGACGTTGTTCACCGAGCCTTCCAAGTCGGGCGGCACCACGCGAGAGAGGAGGCGTGATCATGGGAGAGTGAAACGTCGCCGTCGCGCCAACCGTGCAGCGCCACGGCCGCTGACTTTCTGGGCTCACCGACTCTGGGTGGTGGGTGTCCCCACTCCACCTGAGGGTCCCCACTCCCCCTGGTCGTGATGTGAACGTCTTCTTCTCGGCCTTGTCGACCCCGTGCTGGCGTGCGAGCCGACTCATTGGCGGTAAAAGAGGTCAAGTTCAGCTGCCCTATTGCTGTGGTGCGCCAATGGTTGCCACATCGAACTGGTAACCCAGAGGCCACCGGTTCGATTCGATCTCCGGGCGTGGCAGTTGAAAGCGGTGCAAGTGTCTCGAACCTCCCTTCCCCTCTGCCCGCTGGCCCACCGCTGCCTCTGTCTACCCAACGGCATGAATGGGTACAACACAGTCGATTGGCGGACCCTTATGGTGGGATAAAGTGTCGGTACTCCGACCTCACCCAAGACATCTAGCGAAGTTAACCTCTAGAGGGGAGTCTCTAGAGCTCACCTCGAGCGGAGCCTCTGCTGCCAGCAGTGGTGTTGAGCGAGGCAATTGCAGCGCTGCCCCTTGACCTCTCATTGATCCGGCCCCGGCTCCGCCTACTGCCTCCTGGTGGTGCGGGGGCCGCCGCTCGCACCCTGCACCGTGTCCACAAGTCCAGAGAGGTGGCGCAGCTCATCCGGACGTTTGCGGTGAGAGTTGAATCCCAGCACAGGGTGCTACTGAGGTTACTGAAGTAGCAGCAAGCATGTCCTCTGAATGTATTCTCGAGTCAACCCCACAGTGTACCAGTTGCCCATAGGGCCGCTGTGGGGGCTTGTGACTGTTGGTCACTACTGACCCACCTTGCCCCACTTTTCAATTATCGCCAAGAGTTTGGTGACCGCATTTGTCGGCAAAGCACCTTGCCAAGGTTTTGTGGGGGGGGGGGCCTGGTTTCTCAAGTGTTCGGCGTTCGGCCGCACCTGATGGAAGGCCTCAGAGTAGATGGTGGTGGGAGGCCGTCAGGGCGGGTCGCTGCGTGTCGACTGCAGCAGCAGCAGCAGCGGGATTCTGGCGGAGGGGAGAACGCGTTGGCGTGGTGCGGTGGCGTCGACGGCTTTGGCCACGGTGGCCTCTCGAGTGATGAACTTTTGGTCTCTGCGGCGTGCTTCACGGAGGCACCTAAAACAACGGCGAGTCCAGCGTCCCCCTCGTATCGCGATCGCGGGGTGGGGGAGCGACGGTGGCACCGCGCTCGCCCTCGATTCTGCCGACTCGCGCTCGGCGCTTGGCCACCCCTCGCCGCCGCCGCCGCCGCCGCCGCCGCGCTCCGTCCTTGTACTTCTCGTCGTGTCCATCCCCGAGGTGTATATTTTTTTTTTTATGAACCAGCAAAAAAAAAACAGTGGTAGTTTAATTCTCCCTGTTTTGTACTCTTTAAATTGTGTGGCGGCGTGCGGCCCGTCGAGTCGATGTGCAGTGGATTCACCGTGACCGCAAAAAAAAGTTTTGTTACGGTGAGCAAACAATTTAAACTTTACATAATCCCTTTTTAAACGAATAAAAAAAATACCGTGAATGTGCATATTACCTTTTTTTTGTAAATGTGTGCTGTAAAGCTGCATCAAACTAACTTCTTCTGGAAGCACAAAATAACTGGATGTACCCGTGCATACGTGTTGGTTGTGAATATTTCAAGCGGCGTGTGCTGTGTGCTCCGTGCACGGAGATTAGTTTCAGTTTTAAAGCCCCTGAATGTGCCAGTGATGGAGGGTTTTCTTGTTTCTTTTTGTAAATCTGATTAACCATTTTCTTTCTACCAACAAATAAATCCTTAGTCCTTGATAATGACACGGGCTACTTTTTTTTAAACCCCACCCTGCAATGTGAACCGTGGATGTGTGCTGAACGTATTATTGACCTTTCTAAAATAAATGTTGGCCGTTGTAACCCACATTTTAATCTCTGTCGGATGCCACTCTTTTTGCAAATGCTCCGTTCCTGCGAGGCCCAATTGCGGCGTGCCGTGTCGGTGGGGTCGCGCCGAGCACCACACCGTCCTGGCGATGAAGATCGCTGTGGTCTCTTGCATTGCCCGGCGCGGCACTTGAAGCAGTGGTGGACGCGGCAGATGCCACGGCATATCGGGGCGACCACCCCGGGCCCCGTGCTTTGGGGGGCCCAATGAGCTGTTTCGGCTCTTAATTCGATGAGCACCTCCGATTAGCACAGTTGGCTTATTTATGTATTGAGCGAAATGAATTCAATATATGTACATACATTTCGTGGGCGTGCTGGGACAGCACAAGAGATGTTAGTTTTTGATTGGTCAGTGTGGCAGAGGACGCCAACATACCATCTAGAGGGGCGCTCTGGTGGAGGCCTTTCCGCCAGCAGTGACGTGAGCCGGATATTGCATGACTGCACCCTGTAGGACAGGCGATGTGGGCACTCCTCCCACCACCAAATACACTGACCAGCGTGGTGAAGTATGGTCAATATATCCCTCGCGGTCCACACGGCCTCAGAGGCCCTCATCCAGCAGCGGGTTTATGAACACACGCGGGCGGTGTGCGCGGTGCCTTCACCGTTTTTTAGATCGGCAAGTCCAACCTGAGGCAGGCAGCAATTGCTTCACCCACTCAT